TGCAAAACATATTTATTTTTATTTATGTATTGCATTTATTCATAAATGCATTGAGGATTCTTTATATGTACAGTGTATGTTTATGTACCTCGGATAACCGCATGAGTCCATATTGCACAACACAACACAATTAACTACGTACATTTTTTTGTCATGACCTGACTTTACTCTGATGACTTGCACTGAATGGAATGAGCCGGGGATGCATAATCCGGACAGTAGCTGCTGACCCCCAGCCTTGAGCACACTTTCAAATGATCAGCAGTCATGGTGGAATGGTACTTGGACTTAATGATCTTTATGTGGGAAAAGGCTGACTCACATAAATAAGTAGTGCCGAATAATGCAGTCAAGGAGGTAGCACATTTTCTCATGTGTGGGTAATTTCTCTCTACAAGTAAGTTCCAGAACTGTTCACGCGCTCTGGACTTCAGCTGAATGTCGGTTTGTAGTGTCAAAATCTCCCATTCTGTTTGAAAGTGATACGTTTTTGTCTTACTTGGTCCAGCTCCTCCACTCACTTTAATACTCATTCTTACGTTTAAGAGAAAAAAACAAGGTCTAAAAACTGGTGATAACTTAGCTTGTCAGTTTTGCTACACTTAGCGCAGTTGTCTGTACATGCGTTTGACACCTAAGACTGCATCTGACCTAAATTGCATCTGATTGGCTGTGCTGTATATCAATTAAGTGACAGGTTGATGATAGGCTTACTTATGTCTATTTTTTTAATGCCATGTGATCTACCCACACTACATTTTGCAATCGACTAGTAGATTGTGATCAACATATGGAGCATCCCAGCTTTAATGCAGTAAGTAGTTCTCAAGAGTCTACAGTCACCATACCAGCAACTTCACTATAACCAGGGAACATGCACAGTGACCCTCCCTAGAGGGTCACTATGAGTCGACGTGGACTCAGTGGCAGTAAGTTTGGTTTGGTTTGGTTTTCTGAGCCCTACAGACTCAGACCCTGGGGTTGGAGCCCAGCAATCCGGTTGCACAGCCCTCCACTGAGTGCTGCTGCAGGCCCACCTCTGTGGCTATTATTTTAAGGCAACAGGCCTCAAATACTTGTCTCCAGGCTCTTAAAAATAATTAACCAAAGAGTTTTTGTCTAGGGTATAACTATCAAATTTTGTGATATTAGAGATAAAAAGTGAGATGCTGAAAAACACCAACTGTTTTTCATCCAATAATAAAATACTTATATTAAAAAAAAATAGTAAGGGGTATTTTTTTTACATGTTTGCAAATCTCTTTCAATGCGTGGCTTGAAAAGAGAGTTAGAATTTCAAGTCCAGATCCATATTGTTTTGATTGAAATATATAAAGAAAATTCAGCTAACCTCACAGTGCTATGGTTGGGTGCTATCAAGTTGGTTACAACTCATCGTGACCCTATGAACAACAGGACAGACACTGGCCGGCCCTGTGCCATTGTCACCATTGCTGTCACACTTGAGCAGGAGAGCGTAGCTAGAAAGTCTCACTGGAAGAGGGAGAAGGCTGTGGCGATCCTGTGATCGTGTGATCACCTGGGATCTGGAGCCACACCAATGGACATTTTATGCTTCTACCTAAAACTCACTGGTCTTTCTTGCATTTTGAAAGAATGGTTTTCTCACTCATGTGAGATTCTGTGACATCTGGGTCACTTTTTAAATTTTTCCTTATAAAATATTAACTAATGAGATTGTTTTCGATAGTACCATAAATCTCATCAGGAAAAAAATCTACATATGTGGGAAGAGGTCAGGTTCACACTACTACAAAAGTCTCATTTCATCTGAAAGCTCCCGTCTTATCACTGGCCACAAACAGTATGATTTTCATGAAGACTGAAAATAAGCAAACCTGTACCATCTCAGTCTGTCAACAGTAAGTCACAGTTACACGCCGTGAGAAGAGTGGTTGAGCTTGCCCCTCAAATGAGCACAGGTAGTGAGGTGCCGTTCCTTAACACAGACACCCCGATTTGGTGTGCAGCCCCGGCTTCCCGTTTCATCACATGGAAGATCAAAAAGAGATGTTCACGGGGTTCTCATGTGATGAAAGTAATATGGCTCCGTGAAGGGCATTTTCACTCCCACTCCCTTGCAAATCCATGATGACAATGAATGCAATGAGTACTGTCACAAGTTGGTGTCACCCCCTGGATGCGTGCACAGTAAGGTGCAAGCCGCTCTGAACTGCCCTCGCATGCGCTCTGTCGGTGGAAATGCCGACAGAATGAAAATAGTGGATAATGCCGGTCTGTTTTGATTTCCCAGACCTCCTGACCGGCTCTGAGGGAGCTCCAGGGCCCCTAGGAATGGCTGCTGCTAGAGAACTGAAAGGGAGAGAGAGGGCTAAGGAATCTGAGTGGTGAGATGGTTCAGGGTTTGGGGTGTGCCAAAAGGCTGGTGGTTTGAATGCACCAATAGCTCCACAGAATAAAGAGCTGGTGATCTGCCACCATGAAGAATACAGCTAAGAGACGACCCTATGGGGCAGCTCTACAGTCACACTTGGGGCCACTGTAAGTTGGACTCACTCAACAAAATGCAAGAGATCCACTTCCCCTAGGCATTAGCTATTAGCATAAAGGTGAGTCCCCTGCAAAACTACATGCCTCTTTACTGCAGGTAGTTATCTCAGCTTATTTGAACGGGGCAAGGCTCAAAGACTCAACATTAAGTCCTTGGTGAAGGAGCAAGGTTAGGGATGCTAGTGTTGTTTGAAGGACCTAAACAAAAGATAAAGACTTAGGTCAAGGAATTCCACAGCCCTTTATTATTGATGCTCAGACCTTTATCTTCATGGGCTACTGATCATAGTTATTTTTAAAACTACTTATTTGATAGAAACCGTATCAGCACACATAGGAGGAATAGAGGCACCTGGAAAAATGAAGCTACAATGTCCCCGGAAAACTTACAGGCTACTAAAAGGCTCATGAATTGACACCAACTATTATCTACAGTTTAAGTTTTCTGGTTCCCAGGGAGTAGACAGAAAGACTGGTGAGACCTATCCTCAGGGAAAAATCATACAGTCAAGATCAAAGGACCTATAAATTATCAAGGGTTTGGGAAGGAGGGAAGGGAGGAGGGGAAATGAGGAGCTGATATCAAGGGCTCAGGTAGAAAGAAAATATTTTGAGGATGATGGCAACGAATGTACAAATGTGCTCGACACAATGGATGTGTTGTATGGATTGTGATAAGAGTTGGACGAGCCCCAATAAAGTGATTAAAAAATAAAAGATCCAAGGACCTGGGGTAGGCTCCCCTAAGAATAATAAAAAGGGCAACATTTACCCAAGGATAAAGTTGAGGAGGGTTAAGAGAGGAGAAATGGAAGCAGGAAACCAGGGAGAAAGTGGGATCAAGGATGATACATTTATGAGAGCTGCAATCAATGGCACGAAGCAGAAAGGGTCTGAAATATGTAATGGAAAACTGATCTCTTCTGTACCCCTTCACCCAATTCAATCAAAGTATTCTATATTTTTAAAAAGATGTACAAGAGAGAAAGCGGGTGGGAAGGGGAAATCCAAGGTCCTTCCACTTCTGGCCTTGGCATGGAGTCAGGCCCTTTGTGAGACAGGTCAGTCCCCTGTGCTAAGCTAACTACCCCGTTTGTTTTCATTATCTGCTGCTCCTTACCAGGTCATGGTCACTGTGCACCCCTGCAAGGAAAAGGGGCATCCAGCATACTGCATGGGGTGGCTAATTCCAGGTAAGGGACTCGCCTAGAAAATTAGGAAAGGAGTGGTGTGGCTTTTATTTTATTTTTCGGTGTTGTTGGCACAGTTTTCAACCGCAGACACCTACTGCTTTGGTGACCTAAAACTATGATAATTAAAAACAAAAAGAAGCTGCGAGATTGACTTTAGTTGCAAGGAGAGGATGTTAGGAAGACGATTTCATTCCAAGGCCTGTCTCAGGGAGGAAGAGAACATCATCAAGGAAAAGGAAAGGTGAAGGCAGCCCTCAGGAGTGACTGTTTACACGTGGGAGTGCCTAGCCTTAAGGAGAAAAATAGCCAAGTGAGGTCGTCTGCCCCTACCTCCAAATAAGACAGGTTACCCAAGGTTACCACAGAGCCACCTGGGACTGAGTTTAAAGAAGAATACTGGGCCGGAGCTCATCTTACTTTTCTCCCCTAGAATGAGGTGATGATAAAATGATGCCATGTAACTTAAAGTGCTCAATACACTGTAAAATAGGATTACTCTTGGGCTATATTTTCAATCCATAAAACGTGGATCTGAGCTACAAAGTTTCTTCCAATTGGAAAATTTTTGTTTGTTTTTTAAATAGTTCATTTTAATTGCTGTTGTTGAGAACACACACAGTAGACCATAGATCAACTCAACTGCTTCTTCATGTAGTTCAATGGCACACAGGCTCTGAAGAGTTGTATGATCATTCTCACTCTCATTTTCTGAGGGGTTCCTCCCCCAGGACCTAAACTCAGAGTGCGCTAAAGATCCTATCTAATCTTCTGTTGCTGCTGTTAATTTAATCCTAAATCAAATTCACTGCCATCAAGTTGAGTCTAACTCAGAGACCCTATAGCAGTGGTTCTCAACCTCCCTAATGCCGCGATCCTACAGTTCCTCAAGTTGTGGTGACCCCCAACCCATAAAATTATTCTCGTTGCTACTTCCTAACTATAATTTGCTATTGTTAAGAATCATAATGTAAATATCTGATACACAGGATGTATTTTCATTGTTACACACTGGACATAATTGAAGCACCGTGATCAATCACAAAAACAATGTCATTATAATGTAAGCAAAACTACGGTTTGGTTTTAAGAAGACATCAGGGGATATTTTTGGTTTAGAATGTAAAGATTAAATATCTCAGGAGCTTCAGGGATTCATCTAGTGGGGGTAGTCTTGCATAAGTCAAACTATAGCTACAGTCATAATTTAACAGGTGGTTTTATGAGTCATCACTCAAATTCGAATAATAGAAACTAAAAAATACATTTTTTTCTCACCGATTCTGAAAGGACTTTCCTGCAATATTGTCCCGATAGGAATCAAACAAAACGTGGTATTGGTCCCGGCTCCATTCCAGAACCACCTGTGGGAAAAGAAAAGAAGAAACAAGGTTTTCTTGCATCAAGAATGAAAAGGACATAGCTTCCATTTTGTTTACTTTCAAATTCATTATGAATTTCAGAAAAGGGGCAGGCAAAGCAAATAAAACTCGTTCACGAGCTTGCTTCGGCAGCACATATGCTAAAATTGGAACAATACAGAGAAGATTAGCATGGCCCCTGCGCAAAGATAATGAGCAAATTTGTGAAGTGTTCTATATTTAAAAAACAAACAAAAACTCATTCACTTAGCACCTACCATATGCCAGGCACTGTGCCAGTTCCAGATAAATAAGCTATAGTCCCTGCCCCTTGGCACTAAACGGGGAAAGGGGTGGGAGGTTTAAAGAGGATTAAAAGGAATTCACTGTGTTAAGGAGGAAACGATTAGTGCTTCCATGTTCAAAGGTTAAATTGTTTGGGGACAATTGTGCATACAGGTGGACAGCTGGGACCAAAGGAATTGGGAAAGGACGCTGGGCTTCCTGGCTGCTTAGATTGTAAAGGAATCCATGGAGAAGCAGAGGCAGAGGATTTTGAGCCAGCACACAATCTGTTTACTCCTGTTTTATTAACAACTAAGCAAAAGCATTCATGTGGTTCACACAAAGTATGGATAACATTGTGCAAAATGGGAATTCCAGTACTCTTCATTGTGCTCAGATAGAGCCTGTACAGTCATTTGAAGAGAACAAGGGGATGTTCCATGTTTTAAAATCAGGAACTGTGCGCATCAGGGTTATTGTATCCGTTAACTCTACGTATTCCATCTGTTTATTGAACAAATAATCCAAGAAGGTAGGCTATCTGAAGAAGAGTTCGTGATTAGGATCGGAGGAAGGCTTATCAACAACCTAAAATACGCAGATGGCACCTCGCTTGGTAAAAGTGAAGAGGACTTGCACTAATTGGTGAAGATCAAACACGCCAGCCTTCCATATAGATTACAACTCAAAGTAAACATAAATTCTCACAA